TGGTGATCGGTGCTTGTTGTTGTCGGTTGGGTATCTTCATCACCTCTGTCTTCTCTACGTTCACTCAAAAGTTCCCTCTTTCTTCGCTGCCTCAACTTGTTGGTCTTTGCCTGTAGATCTTAGACATTAGACATAAAACAATACCGGTGAAATCCAAATCTTCTAGGGTCTTTTCATCGGTTCACCCAACGTATGGCCCTCTTTTCGCTCCTTACAGTTTATTGCATGATCCAGTTCAGTCCAGTCGGTCACAATCAGGAATATCATCGGTGAAAGTAGGTGGCAGCCTTGTCTTACTCCTATCTTCACTTCGAAGGCGTCACTGAGCTTTCCATTGTGAATCGCTTGGCATGTAGCATCATACAGCACAGCATAGAACATAGCTGCTGTTGACTGAGGTTGATAAAGGTTTGTGGTATTCCGTAGAGTTGAAGAGCTTGTCTGGCAAATTACTTCTCGGTCAACGCTATAGGAGGCCTTTTTCAAGTCGATGAAGTTGAGGTAGAGAGTTGACTGTCACTCTATGCTCCGTTGTATGATGATGCGTAGCGTAGTGTTGCAATTTGATCCCCACATGATTTGTTCTTCCTGAAGCCAGCTAGCCTGTTCCAGTCGTAATTTTGAATCCAGAGCATTTTTATTCTATTATTATTAATAGCATTTATGATGCTGCTACTACTGCTGCTCATATTTTTCTTTCGATTTCTCAGGAATTTATTTATAGTTATAGGTGGGTAATTATTAAAACGCAAGGTATTTATGATGCATCTGTATTCTTGTAGTAGATTTTCTCAATATGAAGAACAAACTATATCGGAAACGTTATCCAGTAAATGAAACTGTTTCACTGTGACATTTTTAATAACCAGACAAAAATGGAACAAAATGTAGATGTTCATAAATATTCTAACAAGATCAGTACAAGCAAAATACTGATATGGAAACTAAAAGAATATTCAGGGACGATATCTGGAGTTACGGTGTATCCTATCAACACATGGAAATCACCGAGTTCTGGTGATAATTTTGATAATGCAACACCATATTAAACATGGTGCTTAGATGGATATCGTAAGGTCTGTCATATTAATGGAAACTGAGACTCAAAGGAAAAATAAAAGATCAGAAGAATGTGTTATCCACATTGCATAAAAACTACTAAGGTAAGCTAGTCAATAAATCAGGCAACCGAACCTAAGGGGTTTATACCTTTGAAAAGAAGTAAATTAGATAATAATAGCTTTCATAAAACAATGCAGTATACAAATTTGTTAGCAGATATATAGGAGATTCCTTAGATTTAAACAACACGAATGAGCCGATGAAGATCTTGGCGAAAAAGAAAAGAGAAAATAGATCTATGTAGAACGTTCCACGTGAAGCAATATTTAGAAGTGATAATAAACCCCAAATGTGAAGTAATAAAATAACAAGAATGAAAAAGGCATGTTATCTGTTGTTTTAACTTAATCGCTATACTTTTGCATGGATTACTTAAACAACTACTCACTGTTGGCTATTTTAAAGTTGGAAACAAAATATAAGTTTCTGTACTACAGTCGCTAACCAGAAAAGATTAACAATACCAACTTATTTTTTAGGTCAAAGTAGATAAAAGTGAATCGTACATGATAAGATCGCTGACTACCCGTAACTGAGTGACTCTCAGATGGATATGATGAATCACTATTTATTCATAAAAGTAGTTTGTATCTCCCTACGAAAAGCTTACAGTACTTGATCAAGCAATATCAGATGTTAGCAGTTGCAGCCTGATAAATGTAACTGTTTTACAGTGAAATTATTTTAACATATCACAGATAAGACTAGAATACGTATCCATTCAATCAGAGTATTTACTCACATACACATGCCTTGTGTTTAGTTTAAAGGTAATATTTTCGTTGATTAGCCCTGTAACATCCCATTATTCTCATAGAAGGCAACAAATAAATCACAACTTTCGAACGAAACATTGATAAGATCAAAACCCAAAAGGATTGCTTTTTAGCACACTAAATCAATGTACAAGTTACTTCAAAAACCAAAAGATTTTATCACAAATGTCTAGTCTATTTATGAGCATACAGGCTGAAAATTAGGACTAATCAATAGTATAAAGATAAAATAAAAATATTTTTTTTTAAATAGTGAAGGAAGAAAAGAGTGATATCTACTTTCAGATAAAGCTAATAAACATCAGGGATGACTGAATGTAATATTGATGACCTGTGATATCTAGTTTTCTGAATAGCTAAACACAACTGTGTATGCTACTGTGTATAGCTATAACGTAGAAAGAATAAATCTGATGAAATATATCTTGGAATTTTATGAAAGTGGTTGTGGTATGAAAAAGGGATAATGAGACACCGATTTTTCTACAAAGGATTTAGTAACTAGGACAGATTTAAAAGCAAAAAATTTTGTTTCCATTACTAATGAAACAAACCGCTCATAGCTTCATGTCATAACTTTCTACGCAAACTTTAGAGGTTTACATATGAAAAGAAAAGTAGAGGCGTCTACACCGACTTCATCTCGAATTTATGCACCATCAGTTTCATTGAGATACTTTGAACTCCGCAGTTTACGGAGATTTTACTTTCAGGGTAGTTAGTATGCATGATGGACTGGAATCAGTCGGAGAACCATTGAAAAACTTGGAGCACTGGACGGCCGTTTCGTCCCAGTATGGAGCTCCTCAGAAGATGCATCCAAACACCTCCAGAGATGGAATTCAAGATCTTCAGGTCTCGCGGTGAACGTATACTACTGGAGTCCCAAACTACAACGAAGCGGCAGTCCAGTGCTTCCATATTTTCAGTGATTCTCCATCTAATGTCAGTCCATGAGAAATACTACCCTAAAAATAAAATCTCCATAAACCTCAGACAACATTACAGTACAGTGTGAATTAGTGACATGCTTCGAGACAGATACCCTGAATTTCAAATGAGAAGTAGTGACCTGTGGAGTGAACCGGTCGGTGAGGTGGATGCTAACTGAAGGCATTGGTGGTTGGTAGACCTCTATCGCAAACTGATAGGAGTAGGACCATTGAACACTTAACCAGTAGAAGAATGGTTAAAGCGTCCGCTACAATACCTGAAGGTCCTAAATTCGATCCCTGGTGGGCTTTGTGTGTACTTGCTAAGGAATCCAATACTAGGATCAAACTACTATCCAGTGCTCCCAGTTTTTTAATGGTTCCCCAACTGATATCAATCCATGATGAATAGTATATATATATATATATATATATATATATATATATATATATATATATATATATATCCGGTTTAGTAGGTGCTGCACCTTCTATCTACCAAGTGTTAGTTTTTCTTGTACAAATCGGTATCACCTTGGTGTCAGCTGTCTTATGGAACATTCCAGATGAAGTGGGATTTCATAATTTGCGGTCATTTCAATCATCATTATTATAATATACAAAGATATGTCACTTTGAAAGGTTATTACAGTGGCAGTAGGATTAGAATGAGTGTTTTGGGTCATTCCACTTGGTTATGAAAAATAACTACTAACAAGATTACGAATTCGCTTCAGTAAAAGAAACAAAAGAAATCCACTGTCTGGTCTATGAAATTAATGTTATAAGTTATCTCCCAGTTAGTTATAGACAATCGCCTTGTTTCGCCGATGGTACTGGCTAATGATCGTGCAATACCGCAAATTGCTAGAAGTAGAAAAATGAGGACCATTGAACTCCAGTTCAATGGGTGAGTGGTAAAGTGCTAGCCGTGGGACTACGGTCGTGCACTCGATGCCTGGAAGGGTTGAGGGTACTCTCTGCCGATGAACCCATAAATGATCGAAACAGTTGTGAAGTGCTCCCACACTGATAGTAGTTTTCTAAGTGGTGTCCGTTCATAATGAATGCTACCTTGGCGTCTGAAGTAATTAATTAAAAGGTGATCATTTCAGTTTCAAATCTTGACAGATCATTTTTTTCAGGTCTGTATTTAGCATGGACTGACATTGGCTGGAGAAACACTGGAACCTGAGAGCACTAGACTGCTATTTCGTTTTGGTACGAGACTCTTCAGCAATGCGGACCCATGATACTGCCAGAGATCGAAACCAGGAACTTCGGGTTCCGTGGCCAGTAGATTACTATTTGGTCACTGGATCAGAATCCAATAGCCCATATTTCCTACTTCTATCACTTCAAAATATAGAGCAACCTTTATCCAATGCAGTCATTGAGTAACTGTCCTCTTGATTGACCCCACCATCACTTCTCATTGGAACTTCGGGAGTCACCTCTCAAAGTTAGTCACCGGTGAGTACTAGATTAATGATGAACAATGACTAGCAGTGGAATCCAGGATATGCGTTTCTCCCGATTTGAGACTCGTCAGGTGGATGTGCTTGCCTCTCAGTAAGCCAATTGTTCTCACTGGGACTCGAACTCGGAGCAGAAAATATCAAGAGATCCGCACAAGAGCCCACATGGCAAGAGAGACCGGTCAGTTCGGTCCACTCAACGACAGGATAAAAAAACCAACAACAATGAGTACTAGATTCATTCAACTAAGAGGTGTGTGGGGACTTCAGGTTGGTATTCAAATGTCGAGCACCTGTATATACTCAGAGAGTAAATTATTAGGTTATGTGATCATAAATAATACAAAATTATACGGTAAAACGAAACTTCTAATTACTTCTTCTGACTAACGAATATCAAAATAATAAACCTGTTGACACCACGTTATACACAACACAAAAAAGTATAAATGATAGGTAATAGCAGAATGAGCGCCGACTTTTGAAACTGAATAGTATGAGACACAAGTAGTGAACACTGTTAGCATGTAGCATAGGTTACATCATGTTTTGCACACCCTTCTCAAATTATTTACCAGACAAATAACAATTCAGTGACAATTTACAGGAACATTTGTAAAGCCATGATTCATATTTACAGTTAACGTTGATTATGCTACTGGGCTTTCCAGAATTAAGATGAAAGGTCGACTTTAAACATGAAAGCGACTGGTCGAAAATTCAACGGCTAAATGAGTGAGAGATGGTGGAACTTTTAATTTACGTACAATAGGGATGCTAAACATTTCTTTATTAAATATTCTGGAAAAATAACAACAATAAAAAAAAACTAGACTCACATTGTAGTAGTCTTCAGTTGTCCCATATTGTCAGACTTTAACTTTCCTCCACCTAAAGCCGAATCATGAGAAGACAGCGAGTTTGGTGATAGATCAGAATAGGATGATTCTCTTGTAGTTGTCGATGTAGAAAGAAGAGAATCTGGGCGGAGTGAGTTGCAAGATGAATTATGTTGTGTTTGACTAAAGTCCATATTATTACCAGAGTCTAGCGTTTGATACTGTTGTGTGCTGCAACTCATCGACACGTGATCCACTGGCATATCTGACAGTAACCCAGTTGGTTGGACAACAGGTTGAACATTTGTAGGACTTGGTGTACAATTAGAAATTGTTGGATTATTTAAAGTGGTAATTTGAATATTAGTGAACTTTTCACCACGTGTATCTACACCCTGACAAACATCTCTCCCATCAGTTACTGGAAAACAAAAATTTAAAAAATCAGTTTTCATAATTATGTAAGCTTTCGAAAATACTTTGATAATTCGAATAAACTAATAGATTTTGACCAGAAAATTACTTCAAATGGAGTAGTTCATACGAATAGATCAATGTCACAGCCATAGGCTAAATATACATCATTTGAACAAGCTGTTTTGCTGATAAAATATTGTACTCTGAAGATGGACAGAATTTAGTGGCTATATATTTCAACGATAAACGTACCTGTAACACTTCCTGTGTGCTATGGAAGTAGAGAAGACAATGTCATAGCTAGAGTGCATTTCAAACAGAGAAAGTTGGTCGATGGTGTTGTGAATCTACTCCAAGTAAAGCATGCTTTAAGCATGTCAAGTCAACATCTATTCCGTCTACGCGAAATTAGTTGGATGTAGAACATCGTTAGAAGAAGGTTAAGGTGAAAATATCACCTAAATGTGAAGAAAAACTTTATTTTTCTGTTATAGTGTGGAATAAGGTTGCCATGATCTGCATAAAAAGCCCTAAACCTCTGAAGCGTGTTACAACCAATCTTTTTTCTGAAGTTTCGGGAAAAAACAACCAATGTATAAATAACAGATTGGCTGAAGGGACAAAAATCAGTAGGATATTCAAAACTAGAAAGGCCTGGAAATAGCCAAGTTCATCGTAAATATATATAAACCGTTGTAAGTTGTGCATATTTTTGACGTTGCAATACACCTTCTGCTATATTACCGTCTTTTCCATTTAATTAGAAACTGAGAGACCTTCAAGGGGTGGAACCTGAAGGTTATTGTTCAAGCGTCCGTACATATATTATATGATGAAATTACTTGAAACGAGGAAGGGCAGCAGAACCAGACGGACTAGTTCATGAGGTATATAAGGATGGTAGTAGAGCGATTTTGGTCAGGTTAACTGGAGTGTTAACTAGTGTATGGGAGTCAGACACCATCCCTTCTATCTGATCTCAGTCACTGATTATCTCAGTTTTCAAGAAGACAAGAAGTTCTCTTGTGATAACCACAGAGGAATTAACCTGCCTAACATTGTTTCTAAGATTCTAGGTTCTATAACCATTAAATGCCTGTGTGGAGCTTGGGAACACCAAGCCCGAGAAAACCAGGCAGGTTTCAGATCTGGCCGTGGGTGTTTCGACTAAATATTCACACTCCGCCGGGGTCTGGGACACAGGCCGAGTGTACTGTGCTGAAGTCCGCTCTGTTCTACTGTATGGCTGTGAAACATGGCCATTAAAGGCAGAAGACATGGGAAGGCTTCAAGTGTTTATCACTGTTGCCTTCGTAGCGTAGGCCGTGTTTCAAGGTGTCACCACGTGAGTAACGCAGAAGTCAGGTGTAGAATTTTAGGGAGGATAGGTAAGTCACTTGTGATTGGGATATATGTTACGTATCCCTACCCACTATCTACCTCATCGCACATTGTTGGCCGAAGAAAATTCAAGCTGAAAAAAAGCTCGGGGACCAGACTAGGCGGTTGAGGTCCACGGGATAAGAGGAATTAGTGGTTTTTAGACTCTAGGTGATATGGTTCGGAATCGATGTCACTGGCGCACATGTATGCACACATTATCCTCATCTTAACCGCTATACTTAATTACATCATTTTGTTATTCCTCCTTCCCCTCTTTTACTACTTTCTACTCCTTTTGACAGATTTTCCTCCCCTTTTTCAACTTTCATTTTATTGCTTTGTTACTTGGTGTGCTGTTATGAAGTGTGACAACTTGGACTGTTACGCAGTAATGCGTAGGGCAAAATAGGGATGCAATGATGATATGTAATTCTGTGTCACAAGAAACTGTCTGAAACTTTAGTTGGAAAACTAAATTGTGTAACTGCACTGTTTTAAAGAAATAATGTGGTGTAGAATAACGTTTAGTTTTGAATGGACTTAAGGAATGAACCAACTCCTATTACATATTAATAAAAGCTTGAACCAAGCTTACATTCCACTTATATAGTGTAATACATTCAGCTCTCTTTCATATTAAATTGGGCTTCAATGATAAAATCATGACTTTCCACACTTCAGAAAAACCAATGAACAACATTTTTTCATAGTCCACATGAGAGAGTTTGTTGCGTTCAATGACTGAAAACCAAGATGAACCAATACAGAAGGAAATTTTGGGTTTCCCAGAGAAAAAAAGATACTTGTACCTCCTCTCTGTTACCCACAAGAGGAAACAGTTAGACATATGAAAACCATCTTAATTTTATAGTCGTGACGTTAACATAAGCTGTGTTGCAGTGTTGTGTAATTTGACCTCATAAGTAAGTTGAATTGTTTGATCAAAAAGTTCAATAAGTGTCATAAACCAACAAGCTACTATCCAACTACCACTTTTTTCCATATATAATCCATTCATAAAGAAGGAACATTGTGCTCTGCATAGCAAATCACTCAAAACTTCAACCCCCTTAATGAAAGACCTAAAGGATAAAATAAAAGTTGGGTTTTTGATCTTTTTAACTTTCCAGGAGCAATTGCCACAAAACTCAATATAACTGCCTCGTTGCCTTCACAGAATTGGTTGTGCGTTAGACGTATAGCCTTATGTAAGAGAGGTCAGTCAGTTGATAAGGTTGTCAGCTTCCTTCGACTCATGTATCTCAAACACATGTTACGCAGACCTAGTCACCAATTACCCTGTTGTCCAATGTCAATGGAAATGGCTTTAGACAATTAAAATTAATGTTTGGAGGCTGTAGGTGGTATAGCTGAGAATCAACCTCAATGGCATAGAAGTATCCTCACATTACCCTCCTCACTATTTGCTTTAACCTCTCTTCTAATGACTTTTAGCGACTTCTGGTTACATTTTCCTATTTCTCTATCTTTCATCTAGCCGCTTTGTATCTTAATGTGTTGGTGTGAGGTGTGGCAACTTAGACTGTTACGCAATAATGCTAGGTCCCATTTTGATACCGACTTGCTGAATGATCATAACTAATATGATCAGAAATATGCAAGGCAAGTGAGCTTGTAAACCACAGAATGGTCATTATAGCAATTCATGCTTACGTAGACACAATACATAAAGTAATAAATACAGTAAAACAAGTGAGATAAATACTGCTGCTACTACTAATAATAATAATGACAAAACAAACGCATGTTGATGCCGCTTGTTGAAACCTCAGGAAACCAGATAAAAATATCATAACATTCGGTAAGTTGAACACTGTCTACGCATTGATTGGCATTGTATGCACTGAAATAAGGAGACAGATGAAGAGAAAGAGAGGCACACATAGTGAGAACAAGAGATATGCAACACAGGCGAAACGCTAGACAACCATCAAACGATGAAAATCAGTGAGACAAAGTTACAGTTTTGAAGTGGCATAGCATGAAAATGTTTTAGAAGTGGGGTTAAAAACAAGCGGGAGAGGTAAAGAGAGGAAAGAATCTTCGATATACACAAGTCTGCGACAAAATATTCAACAATTTTATTTTAGAAGTAAAACAACTAGCAGTGTGCAACTCAAGAGAACGACATCAGGGAAGAGAGAAAAAGAAGAATTTTAGGTAAGAAGTAACCGAAAATGAAAATCCTAATTCCAAAGTGCAATCAAGATAAGAAATAGGTGATGGTGGTAAGTAAACTGCCTTGCGAATGAAGTGATGGGACGAAGAGGTGGTGATTCATTTGAGATAGTCATGAAAACTCAGGTATGATGAATGTGTGCATTTGCGCCTAGGTGGAAGAAAATGTTAGGCAAAATATTCACAGAATATATATATATATATATATATATATATATAATGTGCAAAAATTTGTTAAGGTTTTTTTAAACGATATGCACTGATGTCAAATAAAAATAGTCGTAGTTTGATGAACTTAACTACTTTAACAATTTTATTCACCATAAAAGTATTTGAAAAGATCTCATCAGTATGCTTCCCTTGTTTCTGAATAAATATATTTCAGTAGGGTGGTTTACGAAGAAATGACTATTTGAAGACAGCATGCACCAGAAAATTAACATTGGTCAGAGAAAGCAACGAAAACTGTTCCATCTTCGGAATCCACAAAAATGTGTTAACTTTCGACTTGTCAACGCACCTGTCAATCCAACAAAAGTTTACCATATAATCTCTGTAACTCGACGTGACCATGATAAGATTCAGTCACTGATTTAGAAATCACCAATGTCTATTTCTCAACTTCAATATATCCATGGTAAATCGTAACTAGCACATGATAAAGATGACATATCTAGCGCAACAGCTCGTGAAGGGGGTAACAAAAGCACATCATCTAGTGAGAAAATAATAATGCAGTTTGACGATATTTATTTTAAAGGAAGTTGCTTGCATATAACCAGTAGGTTTTGGAAATACGGTAAATGGTTCTTCAAGCTTTCAGCAAAGTGGTCGACACATTCTACCACTTCAATCCCTATACTCAAAATGGAAGTACTTGCTGCAGAAAAGTCCACGACCATCATATTACATTTCACAAATATCAGTGAGACACATGACAAACTTTTGCCCATTTCTGCTCAATGCGTTCACAAGACCCACAATTTAGTCAGCGTCTCCATCCAGCAGGACAATATCGTCTGCATACTCCAATTCAACCAGATAGCACCTTCAGATAGCGGAGTATATCAATGCATGTAAAGTCACACGTACCCAACCTTATGTTTATTAGTACGTCCATAACAAAGTTAAATAGGAAAGGTGTTCTGTTCAAAGTTCTAGCCACCCGTCCTGAAAGGTTATCGAGGTCACATCCTTTTCCATGATGATGGTTTCACACACCATCGTATCCTTGATAAGCCTAAATAGTTGCCGAGTGTTACCCAACGCTTGCGTTTTCTCCATCTCTCTCACTTCCTTTCGCCACCCACCACTGCACACGATCAACGCGAAGATTTTTGGTCAACCGATGTTTGGTACTTTTATGGCAAGCCTCGAAAATAGACCACTTGGGGGAATAATCTTAGGACTTTATCTATATAGACGGTAGACGGACGTCAAACTTCTTAGTTACGAC